AAAAGTTCCTACCTAGGTATTATAAGATCTAAGCTTACTTTTAAGTTTTAAGAACTAGAAGTATTTTTATTCTTCTTAGGCTTTATTCTTAAAGTATTTATTATTTTTAAATCTCTAGTTCTATTAGTTATTGTTATTAGATCTCTTATTTTTAGTAACTTTAAATCTCTTAGTATATTACTAGTAGCGTCTATAGAATATTATATAGTTTTAGTAGTATTTATATTCTAAGTAATTCTAGGGGTTAATTAAGGCGCCATACTAAATATAATCTTATACTTTATAATAGCTTTAGTATTTTACTATTTATTTTTAGTAACAGTTTTAATAATATCTCTTATATAGGAATTAGATAGCTATTCTTTGGTTTATTTACTTTATTATAAAAGATGGATTTATTAAATATTATATTCCTAGTAATAATAACTCTATTAAGTTATAGTATCTAGATCTAATAAATATTATAATTAATATATTCTACTAAATAATTTATATATCTATAAGGTTTTAATTTAAACGCTTTTACTTCTTTTTCTACTTCTCATTCTTCAATAAGTAAATATACTTTATATCTATATATATAGATCTTATTCTAGTTAGGTTTTAAGTTAAATATAATAAATATAGTAATTTTCAGGTTATACTAATAGAAGTACTACTAGAACTAGGAATATAAAACCTTATTTAATAATTTCCAACTATAGTATTTAAATATTATTTTATTATAAGGGAATACTATAGCTCTTATAGATTTAGACTAGAGTTTTAATAGTAAGTTTATACTAGTTAATATTTTAATAAATTATATAATAAACTTTTACTCTACTCGTTTAATTAAACTATTAGGTTTATAAGTAAGTTATAGGTAAAAGATATTTTAAGTTTAATTCCTTACTTTTTAATTTAAGTCTTAAATAAAGTATCTCTTTTAATTTTAATAACTACTTTTTTATTATTTAACTTTAAAATATAAATAAATAATTAGTACTAATAGTAAACTTATAGTTTAAAGTATTAAAAGCTATTAAAGATACTAATTAAAGATTTATTTATTAACTAGTAACTACATAGTTTTCTATTAAATATATTCTTTACTATAAGTAAAATAATATATTTTTTATATTTATCTTTATAGAAAAATAAATTCTAAATAACCTTCTAAAAAAGATAAAGTAATAAGTTCTCTAAAGGTTATCTTAAAATTATCTATAATATATACATAAGTAATAGTATAGGTCTTATACTTAATATATAATATACCTTAGATTTTTATATTATATATATAATAAAGAAGTTCCTTAAGTACCTTTTTTCTAGAAGTAAAGGTACTATATAGTAATCTTATTTAGTCTTAGTTAAGTATAATCAAATAAAGGGCTAAATAGTCTTCTCTTTTAATTAAGAGTTAGGTATATTATTATACTTAGTATTAGAGTTTATAAGTAAATAGAAATAGGTTTATAGTAAAGGAAGACTAGGTTTAGCTTATACTCTAATTATTTAACTACTAAAGATTTAACTACTAGTCTAATATATAAAGTATAATCTAAACCTATAAACTATAACCCCTTTTTTAATAAGATAGCTTTAGATATAATATTGATATAGAATCCTTTAATAATAATAATCTTTTTAAGTACTATGTCCTTAGGTCTATCTAGTCTATTTATTACTTTCTTAATTATATATTTACTATAGCCTGAGATCTTTATATAAGAAGTCTTAGCCTCTATAGTCTTATTAGGTCTAGCTAGTTTAAAAGTACTAGGAATAAATAATAATCTACTATTAATAAAGTAAAGCGCTTTATAGTTATCTAGTAGTATACTTTCGCTTAGTAGGTAGTAACTAAAATCGAGTATAATAGAGTATACTCTAAGGTTCTACTATAAGTTACTAATATATTTAATAAAACTAGGTTAATAATAGTACTAATATATAATATTAGAAAAAATAGCTTAGCTACCAATAAACCTAATTCTTCTAAAGGATTTACTTTAATTTCTAATTTTCTATTTATATAAAACTAATTTTTCTTAAAAAATTACTTTCTTAACTTCTTAAATTTATCTTTCTAGAGCTTAGTAAGAATATCCTAGGTATACTCTTTAGTTATAGGCTTATCTAAAGGTAGATTATAGTAACTAGTTAAAGTATATTCTAATTAGTAATACTTTTTAAACTTAAAGTAATAAAAGAAGTTTAAATAAAAATATTTATATAAGCTCTTATTATAGTCTAATATTACTCTACTTTACTTCTTATAAAGTTTATCTAATAATATAGTATAGACCTAATAGCTCTTAGCTTTCTTAGTAGTTAAGCTTATATTTTTTATAATACTAAAAAAATCTTAACTAGTTTTTTAGTTAGAGCTACTTCCTTACTAAGAGTAAGCCTTTTTATTTTATTAGATATCTATTATTAACCCTATAGTAGTTAAAGATATACTATTATAGTAAGAAATTTCTTTTCTACTACTAAGTAGTACGAAATAAATATAAGTTAATTAAGTATATAATTATCAATTTTTAAAATTTAATTAGAATTCGACTTTTATTAAAGGTAGGTAAAAAATAAATTTAGGTCGCGAGTATAAAGATTTGTAGTACTCTTACTATTATACCCTTACTATTATATTTTTACTATTATATAAAATATTAGTTTTATTATTATTATTATTATAAATAATATAAGTAGAAAGAAAGGTAGACTAATAGTTAGTACGTCTTCCTACGAAGCTATTACTTATAGTTAGCGGAAGTAAGTATAACGCGGCAGTAAGTATAATATAAAGGGTCAGGTAATAATATTATAGTTAGTTTATTAGATATAGGCTTCTAAATAGACTTAAAAGAAAGCTCTTAATCTAATCTATAGTATATTAACGTTAAGAATAGGTTATAACTTTCGGGTATTATAATATAATAGATAATTAAGGGATATAAGAATATACTCGCGTATATACTTTATACCTAGGAAAGTATATTATACGTATACGTACTTTACTAAAATAACTAAGGTATAGGAAAACGTAAACTCGTTTATATTATATATAATTAATATTAAAAAGATATACTCTTTATATATAAGATAATACTTAATTATACCTTTAAGTTTATATTACTTATAGATCTTTCTAACTAGTAGATAGGGTACTATATTATAGTTAAGAGTAATATACGCGGCTAAACGTTGTACTTACTTCCGCGTTATACTAACTTCTACTAACTATAAGCGATAGCTTCGTAGGAAGACGTACTAACTATTACCATCGCGATATATAAGTAAACATAAGAGTTTCGTGTTTTCGCTTATATGAGTCTTTTCTAAACTAGCTAGACTATTATATTACTACTTCTACTTTTACTCTCCGTATCATTTCGCAAGCTCTCGCCCTCTCTTCTTCCTTAATAATTAATAACCTATAATAGTAAGACTATAATAAAAAGGTATAATAGTAAGAGGAGGATACCCTCGAATATAGAGGAAAGAAGGGCGAAGGGGGGGGCTCTAAATAGTAATATAGGAGAGTAAGTTAGAATATAATACTAATTATAAGTAATAGTAATACTAAAGGCTATATAAGTAACTTATTTATAAATAGAAGTTTAAAAATTAATATTATATACTCGATTAGCCCAACTTAATTCTAGCATTAAGTTCTAATAATATTTAAATAAACTTATTAGTTAACTATATACTAAGTATTACTATAACTCTTATGTTAACTAAGGCCTTTACTAATAGTAGCCTTGTAATAAATATTAATAACTAATATATATATAAGCTTATAATAAAACTAAAGATATAACTATAAATATAACCTAGGAATATAATATATATTATATTAACTTAAATATTAACTATAAAAAACTTATAAAAATAATTTATATTATAAAAAATACTAGATTTAATATTAATACGCTATATTAAAGGCTACATTATATTAATATAAATATACTTCTAAAGACTATTATAAAAACTAAGGGTTTTACTATAAACTCTAATAGTAAGAAAACGCTAAATAACTAAGATTATAAGATTATAAGCTATAATCTACTTAACAGCTATATATTTAATATTCTTAAGTGTTTTAACCTAAATATACTCTAGGACAAAACACAAATTTTTCGAGGAAAATTTTTCTTCGAAATTCATCAATCTCTTTACACCAATCGATAGCAGCTAGAATTTCAACCACTCCCCCCTCCTCCTAGGAGGTCTACTCCTCTGGTAGCAGAGATACATCCCTCAAAAGATCACGTGAAATTTTTTTCACCCCCCCTTCATAACCTCAATCAACCCTACCACTGCCAACACCGCTACTATGGCAGCCCATGTACAATCAAACTTAGAATGGGAACAAGATATCATAGAAGGAACGGCCTATGAGCCTATGCAACTCATCAACGAGCCCACGCTCCCCACCAGCCCAGTGTACCCAACTATCATACTGGGAACCCCAAACCCCCAAACCCCCAGCACCAACGGACAAGATCACCTCCTAGCACACTACGCACCGTCTAGCCCAATTAATCACATTCAACGCAACCCAAACAACATTTGCTTCACAGACATCAGCACACTAAACAACTCCCAAAGAACCAAAGAAACATAACCCACAGCAAAGAGACAAAGAAGTAACCAATCCCTTAACCTGACCTATAAGTATGCACTTATGTCTCACCCATAAACTGCAAACGACGCAATTATAGCATCGAGAGCTCTTCTCTGTAAGGGAATTGAGCTTGAAGATGATCAGCCTAAAAAACTTACGCTGATTGACCTACTCAATGTCTTTCGAGACTACACTGAAGGAAAGCCCATCAACAAGACGCTTAACACTCGTACAAACTCAGTCAATAACCTTGAGAACATAGCAAGACAACTCCCCAAAAAAACCTACGCCTCTGCTACCACAAACAACAAACCTACGACAAACAACAAGCCTACCACAGACAATAGCACGCAAGGACTTATAGACGCACAACTTAACTATGCTCCCCCTCCTCAGAAAACCAACCCACAAAAGAAGAAGGAACATCAACAAGACGCTTAACACTCTTACAAACTCAGTCAATAACCTTGAGAACATTGCAAGACAACTCCCCAAAAAAACCTACGCCTCTGCTACGACAAACAACAAACCTACGACAAACAACAAGCCTACCACAGACAATAGCACGCAAGGACTTATAGACGCACAACTTAACTATGCTCCCCCTCCTCAGAAAACCAACCCACAAAAGAAGAAGGATGCCATTAAAAGAGCTGCTACTGAGAAGAAGATAGCAATTAAAGCTCAACGACTTATCCTTGTTGAGGACTACCTTCAACCATTTGGAAACCTACAACCACTCACTCTCAGAAACACAATTAGCAAAGCCTTCAAAGCTCGTTTCAACGTCGACCCTGTAATTAGTACAATCTCCAGATCACAAAGCAACAACATCCTCCTTACAGCAGCAGAAGAATATAATGCTAAATTCCTCCTCGACCGAATTGAAGTTATCAAGGAGGTACTTAAATTCAAAAATTCTCTTCAACCCACAAAAGAAGAAGGATGCCATTAAAAGAGCTGCTACTGAGAAGAAGATAGCAATTAAAGCTCAACGACTTATCCTTGTTGAGAACTACCTTCAACCATTTGGAAACCTACAACCACTCACTCTCAGAAACACAATTAACAAAGCTTTCAAAGCTCGTTTCAACGTCGACCCTGTAATTAGTACAATCTCCAGATCACAAAGCAACAACATCGTCCTTACAGCAGCAGAAGAATATAATGCTAAATTCCTCCTCGACCGAATTGAAGTCATCAAGGAGGTACTTGAATTCAAAGAAGCAAGAGTAGACACTACGAGATACCAAGTAGTAGTCCACGGCATTCCAATCAGAGAATTTAACTCACCCGCAGGCCTTGTACAACTCAAAGATGAGATTCTCACTTTTAACAAGGGCCTTAACCTACAAATCGAAGAAACCCCTCACTGGCTCACTTCTAAAGACAAAAGGGACAGCGGCCTACAACACCAAGGATCAATCGTTGTAGCTTTCAAGGAAGAAAGCCAAGCAAATCGAGCTCAGAGAAACAGACTCAACCTTGCAGGGATCAGCGCCAGAGTAGAACACCTTCAGAACACGTCAAGGAAAATCAAA